GTTGTATAGCAAATACTAAAGGAGTAGTCAAGAATATATTCTAAGAGTCCAAATTTAACTACAAATATATGAATTCAAGATAATAGATTTTCTTATAAATATGTATAATGCAAAGCAATGCCAAGAAAAAGAAAGAGTTTATGATCCACTGCCATGTAAGCTTTTATTCTTCTAGAATATCCTGAGCTTGGAACACAAATTAAGGGTCTCCCTTGAAATTAACATATTTCCAAATGCATACCCAGAGTAGAGCTTACAGCACATTCCTCAGTGCAAACGATATGGATCTTTGTGTAATCAGCTCCATAGCCCAGGTCCTGAACTAAAGCCATATTGTGTAGCAAAAGGACCGTCATGGACTAGAGAACAGGATCATGCGATCACATCCTCATTTAAATAAATGCAAAAGCAGATATGAGCCTGATTATATTTGTTACCTTATGGATGACAATCTTGAAACAAAATATACAACTGAGAATTTTCAGTATCTCTACCTTCATGAATTTTAATTGTATCACGTGTTTTCAACAAAAGTGCAGGAATGAACCATTTTCAGGAAGTTCACAACCTATTTCATGGTTAAATTCATTTCTGGTTGGAGTTAGTTTTAAGCCCTTTAAGAAGATGATCTACAAAGGAATTTTCCTTTATATTCCAGTGAAACATATGAAAGCAATCTGTGCATAAAATGTTTTGTAACATTTGGTAAATTACTTCATATACCATAGCAATCTTTCCATATCCACAAGTAATGCGTTTCAGGGTCTCAGCAAACACCCCAAACCTTGGAAGTTACTTAATCACATAGAGAGATAGATAACTACATAGAGTGTGCTGGTTAATTTTTGTCTACTAGACACAAACTGCAATAACTTGGGAAGTGGGAACTTCTATGGAGAAATTGCCTTACCCAGACTGGCTAGTGGGCATGCCTATGGAAGATTTTCTCAATTGTTGATTGATGAACAGGTCTGTGAATGGTACCACCCATGGATTGGTACTTTTGAATTCAACAGAGAATGTAACTGAGCAAGGCAGAAGAAGCAAGTCAGTAAATATCATCCATCCATAGTCTCTGTTTTAGTAGCTGGCTCCAGATCTCTGCTTTGGCTTTCCTCAATGATGTGCTGTAACCTGTAACCAATAAACTACTTCCTGCCCAAGTTCGTTTGATCATTGTTGCGGGAGGTCCTTCCGCCCCTCCAACCAATAGCTGCTGTGATACCAGCCCATTGGGGCGTGGTCTCTCTCCCTTTAAAAAAGCGGCTATTTCCTCTGCTCGATCTCTTCACTTCCTGCTCCGCCGGAGACTAGACTCCCTTCCTGGTTGTGCAGATGGCTGTTGTCTGGGAAGGTGATCTGTAAGTTTTTTCCCCTTTAAATAAATAACACCCTATTAATCATAACTCCAAACTGGTGTGGCATTGTTCGTGACTTACGCCTTCAGATAATGGTGTTTATAATAGTAGAGAAACAAGCCAGGACATATAGATAGATAGAAATGTTGACATAAATGTGAATACAGGCTGTGTAGGTCTCCATGATCCTTTGAGAAAGCTATATACTTATGATACATTTTAATTACTTTATTTTTTGAGATTACAATATAATTACATAGTTTACCCCTTCCTCTTACTCCCTCCAAACCTCCATGCCCCAAATACTCCTATGATCTCTACCAAACTCATGGTTTCTTTCTATTGTTGTGATATATATATCCTGCTCATTCTGTATAATATTACCTGTATCTATGATGAGTTTTAATTTATAAATTGGGCATGTGGAGAGATGAGTAACTTAAAATAGAAAAATTTAGCTCTCTTTTACCTGGTTATATGAAAATGTTTGCTTCCTTTTCTCCTTCAAAACACCTATGATACAGCACTAACCCTCCTCAGGTTACGATGTGGATGGTATGATGGATATGAGATGTGAAGGATGTGAACACTAGGACACTCTCATCTTCTGGTGCTTCATCTGTTTCCAGGAAACCAGGATCGCTGAGCCTTAGCTGATATCTATTGTATGTCAAGCTCAGATGATTGATGGCTCAAATCTATATAGATGAAGAATTTTCTTTCTTTTTTTGTTTGTTTGCTTCTCACATTCTTTGGAAGAGCAGTGCTGCCAGAAGTTATTGTTTTTCATTTGTGCATACTAGTTTGATTGTATATGTATACACGTGTGTGTACCTATGCACATGGAGCTTAGAGATTAGTGTCATGTGTTTTTCCCCAATCACCCACTACTTTATTTTTGAAGACAGGGTCCATTTTGCTGAATCTATACTTCACCAGTACAACTAGAGTGGCTGGCTGGTGGTCACTAGGGAAGGAATCTGCCTGTCTCTACCTATTCAATTCTGGAATCCGAGGCACATACTGCCGTGGCAGGCTTTTTAAAATGAAGGTTCTGAGGATTGAACTCTGATCTCCATGCCTGTGTAAGCACATTACCCAAAAACTATCTTACTAGCCCCACCTTTTTCTCTTTAACTCATCTAAGTGATGCAGAGGGTCTTAGTTTTCATCTGTGTACGATGCTACAGATGCTTTGTATTCTTCATTTAATCTGTCTGCTTTTTCAGCTCTATGAAATAATCCTGTCACACTTGCTTGTGGTTGAAATGATCAGCTTTTGGTTCATTTTTATTTCATGGCCAATAGGTTCTCGATGGCCAGATACATTACCTAATACACTTTTCAATTCCATTCCCTCTTCTTTCAAATAGCATTCCACTTTGGGAATAGACCTTTAGTGGAACCTTTCCATAAATGAAATGGCTGTCACCCATGGTTTCTAATAATGTAGTCGGAATCTTGGCAGATAATTCTCATTTTTGTTTGAGAACATGTGGAGTCTTCACTCCACACTCTTTCTGATTTAGCTATGCATCCTGCACTGTTGCCATATTATAGCAGGACATTTCTTCTGTGCTTCATGCCTAAATAGTTCCCCTTTGCACTCTCCTAGGCATAGACCTACTAGAAAGCTTCTTTAAAAAAAAAAAAAAACACGTTTTCTCAAAGAAGAGAAACTGCTTTGGGTTTATTGTTTCTCTATAGTCAACTTCATTAACTCAGTCACAAATGCCCCAGCAGCTTCTCTGTTGGCAAGCATAGCCTCTGGAGTGGTTACGTGGTTTTGGTCCACACCTATCACGAATCTGTGCAAACATTTCTTTCTTACAAAAAAGGGCTTGTTTCCTTTATCCTTGGAGAATCCTTTTGTCAGTCTTCTTGCTTGGTAACATAACTGTTATCAGTGGGGACACATTTTCTGTTAATTTCTTCTTTCAAATTTGGTACCATTTCCATATTAACTGAACAATTATCACTTACTCCCATCATTACCTTTTCAATTTTAGATGTGATAGCAAAAATTAAGCAGGTTTTTGTCTTTCTTTATTATAACTCCAAAAGTGGAAAATCTGTTCTCAGCATAGATATTAGCAATTTAAGCATGCATTTTTAACTTCACTATCAGGTCAGTAACCTAGACATTTCCACTTTGAAGGATAACTGCATGTTTACCTTGGCACAGCTGAATTGCCAGTGTCTTATTCTTGTGCGTTGGGCATGCCATTAGTACAGGAAGGAGAACTTGAACACAAACGCTACTGGGACAGTCAGTTTGATAACTGAGATGGCTAGTAGCATGACTAATGGACAGTAGGTCGTATGGTGTGGATAAGCAAGAAAAAGAGTGATTCATATCCTAAGCAAGAAAAGCAAAATGATGCATGATTTCATTATGCTTCTCCGAGTCACATACAATTTAAAACTTACAGATTGTTTCTGGAATTTTTTTTATCCAGTGTTTTCAGACTGCAGTTACCTGGAGGTAACAGAAACCAACACTGTAGATAATTTGGGAGTAGGGGGGAATGCTGTAGCTATCATGATTAACTTTACCTTGAAGTAATTTTCCATTAAGCTTAGTGGCTGTTCTTTTTTATTCAAATTGTCTTTTAATTCCTTTAAAATTATCAACATTTCAAACACTAAATCATTTTATTGTTTATTTTTTCTCAAATTTTAGAATGATATTGGGTTCATCTACATTTGAATGAGATGCTCAAAAAGGGGGGAGGGCAGAGGAGGAGAGAAAGGAAAGAGATATCTTTTTTTAATTTATTATTTATTTATTTATTTATTTATTTATTTATTAAAGATTTCAGCCTCCCTCCCCGCCACCACCTCCCATTTCCCTCCCCCTCCTCCAACCAACTCCCCATCCCTCATCAGCCCTAAGAACATGTCAGGGTTCCCTGCCCTGTGGGAAGTCCAAGGACCTCCCACCTCCTTCCAGGTCTAGTAAGGTGAGCATCCAAACAGCCTAGGCTCCCACAAATCCAGTACGTGCAGTAGGATCAAAAGCCAGTGCCATTGTTCTTGAGGTCTCAGCAGTCCTCATTGTCCGCTATGTTCAGCGAGTCCGGTTTTATCCCATGCTTTTTCAGACCCAGTCCAGCTGGCCTTGTGAGTTCCCGATAGAACATCCCCATTGTCTCAGTGTGTGGGTGCACCCCTCGCGGTCCTGAGTTCCTTGCTCGTGCTCTCTCTCCTTCTGCACCTGATTTGGATATTTGATAGTGTTTATTACTGTGTTAAAACCATTTCAGCATTTAAATTGGGACTTGTCTTAGCAAAGGCAGAAAACTTGAATATTTTTTAATCATAAAAGTAGGTGAAAGATTTGATAGATGACAGTGAAGGTTGACTCAAATTCAAATAAAAGGAAATTCCATGAAAAACACTTGGAAAATGAGTAGAAGCCAAGACAGTGGTGGGTGCTACCATCTAGAGCCAGAGACAGTGTCTTAGCTGGGGTCATCCTTGAGGATTCCTGGGAATTTTCCCAGTGCCAGGTTTCTCACTAGCCCTTTAATTGTTCCCTCATAAAACTGCATAGTGAAATTAGAAATTTCAATTTTGCAAAACATTTAAAAAAAACTACAAGACACAAAATTTGATGTCTCTGTGTCATTTCTCTTCAAGGTAATTTGCCAATGGACATTCCAAATCCACCAGAACCTTCAGTTCCAGTGACTGTGCCTCCACACAACTGCACAGATGATGAATTTGTCTGTAGGTCTAACGGTCACTGTGTTGGAAAAATCCAGCAATGTGACTTCAGAAATGACTGCCCTGACAAGTCAGATGAATCCTCTTGTGGTAGGTGAATTTCTAATTCCTGCATGTTTTAGCCATAAAACTGTTTGAAGGAATTGTACCTCTTCTGCCTCTACCCATCGCCCAGCTATTCCTATATACTTAAGTGAGAAGTATTTAGGAATGGAACAGTGTAGCTTTTCCCTAGGCAAATACACTCATGTGTACACACACACAAACACACACACACACACACATGCACACAAAGAATACTGTAAAAAATACATTGAGTTCATAAAGTTCATAAGAAGAGTAAATTTAGTACAAGTGAGATGTGTTCCTATGTCTTGATAAAATATGGTTCTTATTTATTGGTACCTGACAATTCATACCTCTTAAATGGATCTGTGAGAAAGTATTTAATTTAATATTGAACTTTGCCATCAAAGATGCAAATGGAAGAAGCATGTCTGGGAGGTAAAACACAAAGTCAGACAGAACAAATACTTGGTGGTATCTTTTCCTTCTGTGCTTTAGGTGACTGGTATGTAAATTTAAAACACTGCAGTATTGATCAAGTATTCATAATATTAGGAATTACAAACATACAAGTGGCACAAAGCATGGTGTACCTCATCTGTCTTCACCACTGTGTCAGAAAGCTTAGGCTTGAAGAAGTCTAGTAAAAGCTTTTCATTTAACTCAGAAAAAAAATTCATTTTTATTCTGGAACTATACAAAAATATACACCAAAATGAGTCATAAATTCAAAACTGATGCACTCTGTAAATAAGATGGCTCTAACTCCTTCAAGGAGTCCTGGGATTTATTTATATTATGCATCACAAATGGAAGATAATTAGATGGAAGATGTGGTATTCAGGCTTTCTCATGGGAAGCCACAAAGTATGTGTAAGCAGTAACAGATCGAAAGGTTTACAGAAAACCTAACCTCGCATAATGGATGCTTTTTTAGAAATACAGGCTGTAGTTTCAACTTTGCTATTTTAGTATTGTCATTTATTAGCACATGACTGCTTACAGATTATTTAATAATAATAAACAGACATTTACTCATTTTTTTATATCACAGGGTCTTTTTATTTGGATACATTAGATTTTCAAATACACTCTATGACTATCTGTAAGATGAAGTATCTTAATAAACTTATTTATAACTTACAGGTTCAGAATTTCTAATATGTTTTTAAAAGTTGTGTTATGAACACTTATCATGACACCTGGCATTTAAATGTTTTCATTCTGATATATATTATTATTGACTGTAGGTGCCATGTAATATAGAATATCTTTACATCCCGTCTTTGCTGGTTGATATTTTGTGTGAATAATTTTACAACTGAACAGTTCTTATTATTTTGACAATGTAAAGAACAATTATTGAGTACTAAACCTCTTCACAAGATAAATATACACAACATATATTAATATCAGAGTTTAGCATTCAAATGCCATGAATCACTATACATTTTGAAGAGGGATATTTTATACTTACCATCATAATGATAAATATATAAACATATATTTAAAGTTTTCAACTGTGGTATGCCATGATTGTTAAAGCATTCAGAAAATGAGTCAATGTCATGTTTTCTGTAACACACATAAGAATTCATTGAAGTCGTTTTAATTTTACTCAAGCAATAGTATTCTAACATAGATGGATACATGGACACATTCAGCAAAAGGATGAAAAGAAAAAGGAGGGAGAGAGAGAATTTAAAAAGAATTATCACATGAAAATCAATCACATTCTAATTTTTTATATCATAATAAATCATTACAAGAATCTTAAAAACTTTAAAGGTAGTAAGATTTACATAAACGTTGTAAATTTCAATATTTTGAAATCAAATGCTTTTAAATTTGTGCTAACATCTTCAGGGACTAAGCCAAAGTCAAGCAGAATATTGCCATGGACAAAGAAGAGCCAACAGGTCAGAGCTTGAAGGTCAAACAGACAGCAAAAAATACCAGCTGGGAAGAGATGAGAAACAGATGCTGTAGGAACTAATTAACATCTCACCTCATAGAGAGAGCACACTGCTAATATATGCATTCATTCCCATATTTTACTTTCTGTGGAGAGTCAAAATAAAAATGAACCTCGATTTTTTTATCTATTTTTTTAAGAAAGAAAACAAACTATCTGTTTTCATCATACATACCAATCCAAGTTCCCACTCCCTCCACTCCTCCCATTCTTTCCACTTACCTTCCTACCCCACCCCCATCCACTCCTCAGAGAGGGTAAGGCACATTGCTTTGTGGAAGGTGCAAGGCCCTCCCTACTATATCTTGGCTGAGCAAGGTATCCATCCAAAAAGAATAGGTTCCCACAAATCCAGTACAAGCAGTAGGGATAAATCCTGGTGCTACTGCCAGTGGTCCCTCAGTCTGCCCCAGCCTTGCAACTATCAACCACATTCAGAGAAACGGTTTGGTTCTATGTGTGTTTCTTCCCAGTCCAGTTGGAGTTGGTGAGTTCCTATTAGCTTACGTAGACTGTTTCAGTGGGTGTATTTTTAAAGACTTTTCTTGTGATTATATAAAACATTGGCCTAAATATTTAAGTAGTGCTTAATAGTTACAATATGGAAACTCGGAAGATGGTTAAGTTGGTAAAGTGCTTGCTGAGAAAGCAAGAGAGCCTGTTTTTGCTGTCCAAATCCCACAGAAAATCCAGGTGTGACAGTTTAGCCTTGTAAGCCCAGAGATCTAGGAAAGTTAAGATTCACTGAAGCATGCTGGCCAGCTGTCCTTACCTAATTGATAAATGGCAGAACAAATGCAAGATCCTGCCTCAAAAAAGTCAGCTCTTGAGAAGCAACATCTGAGTGTGATCTTGACATGCACCACAGGAACACACAGACATACACACAGATACATACAGACACACAACACACACACACACACAAACACAAACACAGATATATACACACACACAAACACACATACACACACACTTTGCGGTATGATTTGGTCCTCTGAGTGTGGGTGACAGTTGTGGGGCAGGGGCAGACTATGAGGTTATCGTCAGTGAGACCAGAATTTATCCCTACTGCTTGTACTGGCTTTTAGAAACACATTCTCTTTGAAGGGATAACTTGCTCAGCCTAGGTAAAGTGGGGAGGGCCTTGGTCCTGCCTCAAAGCAATGTCCTGGGCTTTGTTGACTTCCCATGAAAAGCTTTAACATCCCTGAGGAGTGAATGGGAGGAGGAGAGGGAGTGGGAATTGGGATTGGTATGTAAAATGAGAAAAAAATATTTTTAAAATATAAACAAAAAACAAACAAACAGAAAGGAAATCTTAGACAGGAAAAAGAAAAGAAAAAAGAAAAAAGTGCTGCAGAGTATAAATTACCCCTTCCTGACATGTTCATTTTGATTGTCTTTATTCTGTTTCATTCAAGTTCTGGAGGTTTGTACATTTGAAGAGAGAAACCTATGTAAATGGTACCAGCCAGAGCCTGCAAATTCACCCCACGACGCAAATACATTCAGGTGGGGACTCAGTAATGGGATCAGTATTCACCATGGGGAAGAAAACCACAGACCATCAGTAGATCACACAAAGTAAGTGGCTGCATATTCTCAAAGCATTTCCTAGGAAATATTTCTGGGACTCATCTTATCCTAGGTCAGTATGATTATAGAGATTAATGTATTGTTGAAGAACAAGAGGTTTGCATATATTCTTTCACACTACACTAGGGAGAAAAAAACTTAAAAAAGCAAATGGGACTGGCAAGATGCCTCAGTGGGTAAACACATTGGCTGCTAACCATGAGGGCCTGGGTTCAATCTCCAGGACACAAATGGTGGAAAGACCAGTTCCCACAAGCTGTGCTCTGACTTCCAAAGATACACCGTTTTATGCAAGCATCTATGTGCAGACATGCACATCGCACACATAGAATCACACACACACACACACACACACACAGACAAATGCACACAGTTAAAAGCAAGGAGGGATTCTGAGACCTCCATAGAATCTGGTCATAAACAAACATTAAAGTAAAATTATGTAATATTTTAATTTCCCTTTTCTGTGAGAAACAGAATTTTTAAAGCTATTTTATTTGTTTGCTTATTTGTTTGATTTTGCCTCTGCCTGTGGTCTTAAATATTCGAGTCAAACACTTATAGCATGAAAACTACTGCTAATTTTTTTTAAGTATTGAGGCTGACGAGACATCTCACTCAGTAAGAGTGCCGAGGAAGGAGAGACAGGTAGAATTTTGTGACTCCCTGGCCAACTTGGCAGGCCTACTTAGGACGTTCCAGGCAAGGGAAGATTCGTCTCAAAAATAAGGTCGATGATGTCCTGAGAAAGGAAACAGAATTGACCTCTGGCTTCCACACACTTCTGCACACAGTTGCATGTATAACTTCACACATGCACCTGTTTAAATACAAAATGTACATGTACTTGAACATATACATACATAACACACACATGCACACACATAAAGTAAAATCTACTCATTGTTCTTCTCTTTGAATGTCTTCCACTGTTCTTGTATTCATCCATTTCTTTCTACATCTATCTGCATTTTCTTTTTCAAATAATTTCATTTACCCCAATTTCTAGTTTTTTCCTCTTTCTCATTCTTTGTGTGTTTCATATACATATGAACACAGGCAAATGTCCAGACTTTCTTCATAGACCTATGAACATATTTTATCCAGTATTTTGTAAATCATGTTATTAAATATTATCTACAACTTAATTTAAATTTTAATTTAGGGACTTTCCATAATTTATTAATCTCTACCCAGTTCTTGGACTTCCAATTAATTTATTTTTCTACAGTGATGTTAGCTCTGAGACGATAAGCGGATATAATGAATACTGTCTGAGAAACATTGTTTTAATGGGATTGAAAAAAGAAAAAAATGTGAGTCTAGTTCTTATTGGGAAGACCTCAGTGAAAAAAAGATGTCAAGCATACCTCATTGACTCCAGAGAAAGTGGAAATAGGATTAGTAAATATGGGTGAGCTCTTTCTGCACGCACGACAAATGAAAGAGCACTGGCTGGTGATGCACAGGAAGAGAGGTCTCCCCCAGACAGACAGAGCAAGAGCAAACCAGACGGCAATGTAACCTTTTCTTTATTGTATTCGCCTTTAGACCATTTATTCACTGTAATAGTTCTCATTTTTGGAACTATATGACTATTTCATACCTTTGAAGGCAAACTTTTTGGCTGGTATAGCAATAATCCTGTCTCTTGGCTTCCTTTTTCTTTTATATATTACATTTTACAAATTAATTTCAGCTTGGCGACGACATGTACAAAGTAAGAACTATGAAAGAAAGTTGACAGTCCCATGATGGCAAAGACTTCGCATTTACAGTAACCCCAGCCCAACTTGTTGGAGAGACCTTAATTTATTTTAATATAGTATAATTTTTCATCTATGCTTTTATTAGCCACTGGTTAGTTCATATTTGTAAAATGGTATGTTCTCATGTCTATAATCATGTATGCATTTTTAAAAATATTAATTTTTCTTAACAAACGGAGACTGTTTCCTCTATTCTCCTGCTTCTCTTCCCCCATCTTCCTGGTATGATTTCATTTGAATTTGTTTTTTATGTATTTCATTTTATATGGGAGGTATAGAGCCTCACTTGCAGTTTGGGGCATTCTGAAATTTGCTATAAAGACTAGGCTGACCACAAATCACAGAAATCCACCTGCCTTTGCCTTCTGAGTGCAGGAATTACAGGTGTGTACCCCATATCTGGTGATTGAATTTAATCATTATAGTTCAGCAATATTGTGTCTTATTGAAAGCTATGTCTGGATACAAAATGATTTATGATTTTTTATTTACATTGAAATTAATAATTGCCTCATCTTTTACTTTCTTAATGTGTTTTACCTAATCTACTCTTCTAAGTATATAACTCATCTTTCCAGCCCCTTTGTTTTCTAGAAAAGCTGTCACTGCAGCCCTTTGGCAGACTGTCATCTGAATTCCCTCTGATGTGCCACATAATTCTTCTTCTAGGCTCCATCTTCATCTACCACAGAAGTACAAAATCTAGGCTCTTAACACTGTGACTTCTATCTCTGGCTAAGCCTGCACTTCCTGTATTATCGGGCATCTTTATGTACCTTTACTGTTTGTGTATCTCTTTAAATATTAGGGATTTTTCACATATGATGACTCTTTGGGTATCTAGTAATGTTAAGGTGTAAAAAGTTAAAAGTTAACTAAAGAACTGAACCAGACTCTGACATGGAACTCTTAACTGTTAACTGATAAATTCATACATGCTAGTACATTTCTCCATGGTGATTTTTAAGACATTTACTTTTCATCCTAGCCTTTGACTCCCAAGTCTTATTGATAAATAGAATGATAGAGATTTAGTTAAAATTATATTTGGTGTCAGTAGCAGGAGGAGGATCCACCAGCAATGTACACTTTCTAATTTTAAATGGCTAAATGTGCCTTTCCCTAATGTTTTATTCCTCACATACTGTACTTAGTAAAAAAAATAAAAACAACAGATTTTCCCACCTTTAAATTATATATTCAATGTGTGTACAATTATTCTGGCTACTTTGAATCTGGGCCTTTATATAGCAGTCAGAACCTATCATACTATTTGAAATATTAATTTGACCTCAGAAGAGTCCTTACAATTTAAAAACCAGAAGAGGAATGAACGATTTGACTTAGGAAGCATATAAAATTTTTCAAATTCACCAACAATGCAATTCACCTGTAATCATGAGCATATTTTTCTCTCCTAACGGGCCCTTTCCTGATAGCTAGTTTCCATTATGCTGTGTTGTTTTAAGCTTTCATTTTCTTGTTTTCTATGAAGCTTTCTCATTCATTGCCTCTCTATATTTCATCTTAATCATTATTTTAGTTGAGCTTTTGCTGTGTCATTTGTTACTTCTTATCATTTATTTTTCTAGAGTCCAGTAGAAAACACCTGTGTTCTTTTATGCTCTACAAGTAGTGTGTCTAGTGTTCACAGTTCGCAAGCTCCCTCTTCCTTTTCTCAGTCTGATTTCAGAGAACTCTTGCAGAACTCATTAGAGGGAACTGTGGTTATGTTTCAGTTTCTACAGTTAAGGCAGAAAGATCCCTCAGCATCTATGACTGCTGCTTCAAGAGAACATTCCTCCCCCCTGATCATATTGATCAAAGTGCTTTTAGATTCAAGGGAAGTCACCAAGTTAGCATCTTGACATTTTCTTTGGGTTAAAGTTTTCCCTTGTTTCCTGAGCTCTTTCATGGTTTTTCTTCTAGTAAATCATTTGTTTGCCTTCATTTGATTTAAATGATAACAGCATAGCTGCTCGTAGTTTACAGAGTGGCACACAACAATAATGTGTTGTCTTAATCACTTTCATTAGTTAGCAAGCAATGAATTGGAATGTCCATATACTAAATAGTGTTGGGCTGCTTCTGACTTAAAAGTCAGTGGAATATCCTAGAAACTTCTCTTGTATGTGTAAAGAGACGCTGTGAAGTTATGAAAGTAAATTTCTACAAAGTAAAATAAGGACTAGATTAGAGTTGTCCCTGGGAGTACAGTGTACATGAAATATGTCAATATATTCTATAAGGCAGCAGCTGGTTTCTGTCTATCCTTACCTCCCCGCTTCCAATAAGCTAGAAAATCCTGGAGGAATCCCAGGGACTACATTTCCCAATCTGTTGCATTGTTTTTCAACTGTCTGGCCTGCAGTAAGTCTCCACAAGGAGATAAAGCACAAAATTAAATTCATTTAAAATAAGAACACTTAACAGATGCTGTTAAATTTCTATACCCACATGACAATGAGCCTTGAAGAAGGCAATGGCCTCAAGCCCACAACACTCCTGCATACATCTCTGCTTTTCTTCAGGCTCCATCCTCAGCCAAGGGAGGCTGTCTCCTCCATTCTATGCTGCATACATAGTAAGCTTCAAGCTCTGATTTTCAAATTTTGTTTTAATTGAAGGGAAGCTTTGCCCATTCAGAAAATGTGCCCCTTTCCCTCCTTCCTATAGCATGTGATTCTAGAAACACAAAGGCAGTTTTCAAAGCCTTCATCTCTAAAGAATTTTCAAGACCTGTATTGAGAATTTAAATAAATTGTGCCAATTATCCTCCCTTACAACCCGCTCCCTAAGCTCAACCCAAGGCAAAGATCACTTCTGGTCCAGTACAGAAAAGATAATTTTAAGCCAAGTGCAAGAAGAAAAAGACATGCTCATATATTTCAAAATATTCTTCCACTTTAAACACTTAATGAGGCAATAAAAAGTCTAGATAATTCATGCTAGGAGAGGAATATATAGGGAATTTTCACCATGTATTGGAATCCTAGACAAGGTCTAGAAGTGAGTGTTTTTCTACATGAAAATAAAATGACAGGCTTAATAGACGGATATTTCCAAGTGAATTTTGCTTTTTAAAAATATACAGTTTGTACATCTGAAATGAATTCTGTGATGTAAAATTACAGGTGCAGTCTTACTTTTCATTTGTTTTCAGTAGCATGTCACCATTTGATACAACTAGTTCATTTGTTTCGAATGCATTTGACAGTC